GAAATGTTCTCGCATTTCTGTTGTTTAAAAATTGATTTGAGTATTTTTTTACAAATACAAAAAACAAAATCAATCAACACCTCTCAAAACATTAGTAGAATATTTTAGTTTTCTTAATGTAACTAATTACATAAGCCCACGCTTAATTGGTATCTCATTGGTGTACCTAACAAGCAATTAAGGAAAGCCTCCAGGCCCCATCACACGGCTACAGAACAAGTGAAATGAATTCACAATCAATTGCCTGTTAAAGATTTATGCGACACACGCCTTGGTATCTAGTTAGATACGGATCTTGTAATAAATAATGACCAAAGATAAAACTTGCTTCATTCATACAAGATTAAAATTACGAAACTTACGTTTAATAATTTTTATGTCTTATTTGAGATTTTCATGCCTAATTTTTTTCCCTTTTATAGCATTATACCCCATTAGGTTGACCTCAACGCGATTCCCCCTGAAACACATCGTGGTTAATTCTTGTCGAATTCGTCATGGTGGATTAACTGACCTGCATTCATTCCCAAATATAATCTCTCGCGGGTACTGCGCAAGTGTATACCGATAAAAATATAATTTAATTATATTTGCCATCTAGCAGAGTAGTAGTACAATTAGAGTAGGTATACATAGATAGATCTGTTTCTGTATATTAATCGTTGACACATATTCGAGAGGTCTAAGTTATCTTGGTGGAGTTTTAGTACGTAATTTTCCAATAATCGAAGAGGTCGATAAGAGTTTATGCGATAGTGTTCGCCGCGAGCGCGGCATTGACATAGTTGCCTCGTCACAACATGCGCACACGCACGCGAACTTCTACTTTTGCACGATTTCTGATAAAAGTACGAGTTAAACTTGAATGTATAGTTTTTTTTAAAACTATAACATTAAAAACGATTATTTATTTTCAAATTTTGTATAACTGATAATTATAAAATCGTTGGTCCTGATTGACCATTACCGCACTGCCAATATTATTAAATCTAGAAAGTTACAATTTGGAACAACGGAATTCTTTTATAACGTAATCAAGGTCTAAAAAAGATTTTTGGAAATTTCTGCTTAAAGGGGAAACACGACACTACGCACACTATGCCGCGGGCAACTGCTAGTTCTTTCTATTTGATTTTCACTAAGGTATAATTCATAAAGTAATAAAAACTTAATATAATTATGTATGTCTCTATTTATTAAATAATGTTTTTATTATTAAATAGGCATGCCAGTTTATCAAAATGATTGTTAACATGATTTTTTAGATTCAGACAAACAGAAATATCTGCCTATTTTGAGTATAGACAGTGACATAATAATTTTATAATGTTAATTATATTAATTATCTATAATAGCGCCAACTGACCTATTTTATATATCAAAATAGATAAAGTCTTTTCCGAGAGCGAAATCCTAGACTAATAATATAGTTCAGCTGTACTTGGTAAATAGATAACATTTATAGCACATAACACCTAATGAGTCAAATGTGGTTTGTGTATAGAAATATTTCAGTATTAATACATAAGTTGCCTAGATAACTAGTTCTTGGTCATTTTTAGGTTCTGGTTAACAGAATGTTATTATTCTACAGTTTTCAAACAAATCGAGACTACGGTATAAAAAGGTCGGAGAATAAACTGGGAATAAAAAACTTGTATCTATGAGTACGAATCCATGAATTTTTGATAAGTTATAAATAATTAAAAATATTCTACTTATTTCTGGCGCTCCATCAAAGTTGGGTGGATTTTAATTGGACTTCACCTATTCTTTAAGGATAAGTTTCATTCGACATTACGCTGTAGGTACATTAAAATTAAGATGCAAAATATTTTTTAATTAATATTAACCCAAACAAGTTTGATACAAATAAGCGTGTGAGTGTTCACGCTGTATTTTTGTGAAGCATACTTAACTTGTCTATTCAGTATAGACTATTATAGCAAACACATAAATTTAAAGTTAAATTACACTCGCTTTGGTATTTGGCAAGAGAAAAGCTATCATTAGTATGCACGCCAAGTTCCATCCATTGGTACCTGATCGAACCAACCCGTATGAACGAACAATGTCTATGTACGACGACGGTAAAGTTCGCTAGAGTGCGGGCGCCCGCGCAGCCTTCTTGTCGCATCGGCGCGCCCGATACATATTAATGTAATTGTTTTGTGTATTACATGATTGTCTACAACACGTGCGATAACTCTTTTGCTGTTAGTATTTAGGTACATTCTGAATATGATAGTAAAGTTTATTGCGTAGAGATATTTTATTTACATTGGTACCTATTTAATAGAGATGCAATAGTGGCTGCATTATTGAAAAAATATTAATTTCCTTTTCTATGAAAATAGTTGTCATGACTGAATAAGTTAGTTTGAGTTATGTAGGTGTCTAATTAGAAATAAATAGTAACGCTTCATCTATACTAATATTATAAAGAGGAAAAATTTGTATTTTTGTGTGTATGTGTGTTTATAATAAATAAACTCATAAACGACTTTGGCGATTTCAAAAATTCTTTCACCATTAGAAAGCTACATTCACCCTGAGTACTATAGGCTATATTTATTGCTAGAAAAGATTAGGGATCCTTACTTAAACTTTACTAACGTAACTCAAGGTGTAAAAAATGCTATAAAATATCTTTCATCGCGTGCGGTGCGGAAACTATAGAACAAAAGTATATACTACAATATGGAAGAAAATATCAATAACTACAAAAAACTTCCCAATATGTAACTATTATCGTTATGTCACAATAATCACTTTTTAAAATGTTGTAAAAATGTCCACCCGTGCGAAGCCGGGACGGGCCGCTAGTCTATAGATATAAATGTAAGTAGTTCTATTAAAGATTTAATGTATTTGCTAGTTTCAGATTCTTCTCCATTAATTAAATCTTAGAAAATTAAAAAGAATCAATTTAAAAAATAATGTTCGAAATCGGTTCTGAAGTAACGAAGATAATGTATACCTACATAAAAATACAGACGAATTGAGATTCTTCTCCATTTAGAAATTCTTTGAAAAAATAATTTCTGACAATAATCAATCAATATTAACTAAACTAGTGAAACTATGTAAATAATATAAAGGTAAGGTATTATATAATTATAAGTGTATTATTATAAATGTAAAGGATTAAAGTATTAATTTAATATTTGGATATTTTTTACTCATTCCCACATAAACGGTTACAGAGATTTAAAAGGAAATATGGTGCACAAAACAGATCATGTAGTAGTTAAACAAATATGGTATTTTTATGACAATTCTAAACGCAGTAGTGGAACTTTGATGGATTTTTAGTATATTATTTCAAGTATTGTATCTTACCTAGACTTGAATAATTAACAACTTTACAATTAACCTAAACAATTGTAGAAAACAACAAACACAGTAAGTTTGTTACATTCCAGTTTATATACGTTGTACCTAGACCTACCTATGTAAAATGAAATGTAACACACAATTGACTAATGACTACATTATAATAATATAAAGTAGATATTATGTACTTACTGTACATAAATAGTAGTCAAAGTTACTAATAAAAAGGATGTAGATAGGTTATTATGGTGTGGATTATATTGTATGTCATAATTTTAGTCGTTAACTTTCCACTGCTAAATATAAGCTTTCCCCTAAAGGGGAAAGTTTATATTTTGCCAGTAGCTGCCATGCTTGGCAGGTGGGTTGGCAACCGCAGTCAGGCTTCTAGAGATGTTTTAAGACGTTGTTGCCCATCACTCTACTAATAAGTTCGTTTAGTCGCCTCTTACGATGCCCATAGGAAAGTAAGGTGTGGCCTATTCTATGCCGGGACCACACGGACGCGATGTTGTAAGTAGGTAATACAAAAAATAATAACACCGATTTCAGTCATAGCCATTTTGATTTAATAACCAAACTACTGAATCCGACAAGTAGATTCTGTTACACAAAAATAATACATTACATACACGGATTTTAATGACATTTATAGGGGACCGACTTGAAGTGTTATATCCTTTTAAATAAAAAAAAATTTCCAATGATGGAGTTATGAGCTAATAAACGTTAATTGAAAATCTTTCCTTTTTTTGAAGTCGGTTAAAAATGCTTTATAATATGTACTGTCATTTCGTTTTAGAAACTAAAGTATGTCGCTTTTTTATTTCCAACTTCCGACACGTGATCTCTTACTTATTCAATATTATATTTAGAACAATTTAAAAGCACAAATCTTGTTCTTTTTCTGTATAAGCTAACACAACAATTAATAAATTTTGTGTGTAGACTGGAGAACTATTAGAAAATACATGTACGTAGCGATAGAGTAATGAGATTTATTTTAGAGGATTGCCTCATAATACAAACATGCTAAATTGCCAACTGTTTTTTTCTAAAAATTAGCTATATACATTCTGGATTGATACATTTTAAACAGGATTCTCTGGGTATATCAATTTTATTGCAAATAATTTATTTAATTGCTATTAAAATTTATTATACAAGTTCTTTCATGGCAAACAACCTGCACTCGAAATTTGGTTTGCAATTTGCAATATAAAAAGAATAAATAAAATATTACTGCACGATAGTTGAATACTTTGCGGTTCAATACTAGTGAGCTCTATTTTCACTCATTTTAAATTTGGTATGAGACCTAAAAGCAGAAAGGAGTGTAAAATAGGTGATCTCTTCTAGATCTGAATTACCGTGATTTCTTGATATTTTTTTGTTAGTGTACTAACTATAATTATATAAATAAAAAACATTGGTATACTTAGGTCAAATGCTTTTTGTAGAAAATATTTACGTTCCGCAAATGCTATTAGTAATTCTGTAGCTATGCAAATGCAGTTAATTTGTTAAACAAATGCCCTAAGGTTAAGTACCTAAAGGCATAATTATTAAAATAATATAGTTTAACGATTTTTCACAAATAAGTAGACAACGTAAAAATATTATTTGAAATCAATTCGTTTTAAGAAATTTTAATTCCATCTTACCTTTTTCAATGTTGAAACATTCATGATCATATAAGCAAATTGCTCCAATTTCACAAAACTAACAATAATATATATATTTAATACATAATTACTAATTGTATACAATTTCAAGATACTAAATTCTCATGCAAAATCGTGTAATTTATTTTCCCGCCATAACGTAAGTTTTCGCGATCGCGACGCGATTGTTCAGTTTTCAGCGAGCGACTGTTAACACGCAACGACAATGCGCGACTGACTGTCGGAGTCGGAGAGTTGAGTTGAGGGCATGTGGGACGTGGATTACTGACTGGTTGGTGAAGTGGCTTGACTGGTGACGATGGTGATGTTAACCGAAAATGATCTACCAGTGACTCATTCATTTATTTACACTAGTTAATTTTAATTGTTGTACATTTTTTGTTTACCTTTTCATGTTACCATAGCAAAGTATCATCTTATTATATACAAATCATGTTGATTTGTTCACTTGAATTAGTATAAAAGTATCCTATATATTGTGTACATGATAAGGTATATACGACCCACCTGTGTACTAAAAATAAGTTCGTTAACTGTGAATCTTGCTAATATATAATAAAATTGTAACTAGACAATGTCTGTGCATAGGAGATATGTAAGAAAAAAAAATTAGGAGTATTAATATTAAGAATTATAAAATAAAGACCAAAAGATGCCAAAACAAAACTTTTAGAAATTTTGTTTGTCTGCCTGTATATTTGTTCCAGTATTACGTAAAAATTACTGCACTTACTTAGACGCGGTTTTCACAGTTGTATTCCTGAAAATCTTACATTCATATTTATATTATAATATATCCAATAATGTTTCATATGGATGAAGGAGGGTTTGGCTAGTAGTTGGAACGTTTGGCAAGCGGGTTGGCAACAGCAGTTTGACTTTTGGTGATGTTTTAAGAGGGGCACTGCTGCTTATCCCTCGACCATAAACCTTAGTCGCCTCTTACGACACTCAGAAGAAAGGAAGAGGTGACCTATTCTATGACGGGACCCGCAGGGCTTAAATATATCCAATACATTAATTTTGTGAAAACAGGATTAGTTATTATTTATTGCATACCTTTATATATACAGCCACCTGTTCCGGTTTCGTACGGTTAGATAGGAAGAAAATCTCTAAGTTTAAATCAAAATATATCCTTTATTACTCGTTGATAATATAGCTATCTATAGGAAAAAGATTTTTTTTTAAAATCGGTTACTCTTTTAATTTATTCATTACAAACAAAAAATCTTACGTCTTTATAATGTAAGTAGTTTAGACAAAAAATGAATTTAAAAATGCTATAGGTATCTGCATTTAAGGCGATGTAAGTAGGTAGTTGTTATGCTGACCTCATCGTAGCAGCATACCTGTTGTCCATTAGAAACCTCCCCTTTTAAATGATTTCTCTAGATAACATTTAAATCGGCAATATAAATTCTGATTCATAATATGTATTAAGATGGAAAGTGAATAAATATTAGGTTTAAAAAGTATACTAGACTTATATGTAACATGACAAAAATATCTGTGCCCGCGATTCTGTTCATGTGACAACTTCAACTCGATAAAATAAGTCGCTTTTCCTTCGACTTGAAGAAGTTCTCCCAGGTAAAGTTACTTTGGAGATATTGGTGCAATATCGAGGGTAGGGAACCGACTCCTGTCTGTCGTTAGTATAAAATCGCAGCTGCCATTTGAGAAAAGCTCAGAATTAGCCATTCTGTGCTTACATCCAAACAGTGCTTACAGTTACTATTAAGAGAGTTAACCTAAATAAATAAGTAACCTGTCGCTGCAAGCCGCGGTGAAAACTAGAGACAACAAGAAAAGAGGCAACAATGGTTTCCAGTGAGAATCACGCGAAGATAAACTTGACAGGATGTATTGCTAGCAAATGGGACTGTTAGGCGCTATTACTAACAAAGCCTTTCTCCTCAAGAAAAGAGGCTGTAGAGCGGTTCAGAGAGAAGGAAGGAAGTGCTGACCCATTCCAGTCAATGGTTGGAATGAGGATTGTTAATTATAGAGAGATTAGTCCCCATTACTAGCAATATACCCTGTAAGAGGCATCTCCACACGGTTTATCATCGTATTTAATTCCTAATCAATTCAAAACGATGAGCATTTGGCTCATCCTTTTGAATTGACTTGACCTGACTCCGTTCTCTACTGGTATTTTCCACTAAGTATATATATTTATTTGATGCTGGCGGGGCACCAGTGAGGGTTAGGATGAAACGGGTCAGTTGGCTCATCGTGATGAATTTATCAAAAATTAACCACGATGGTTTCCAGGGGGAACCGTGTGGAGGTCGACCTGTTAGGGTATATTGCTAGTAAAGGGTCTGCTGGAGATCACTACTAACAATCCCTGTTCCTCCACTAAGTATATATTGCATACTATTAGTATAGATGAGGGTACCATTTTTCTTCTTATTAATTTATTAAAACCTATACCAATTCAAGAAAAACGGCCGGAAGAGACATGGCAACAAATGCATACACTCATTTTTATGGTTTAAAGAAAAGACATCAGATATCAATTTCCGTTAATGACATCTTTGCAAAAAATTGCACGATAATATACCTAATTCTCAGAAAGCGAGTATGAATGAATTACAAACTACGTAGTCTGGTCAAGGTAAACATGCTTGTTGCACTACATACATACAAACACATGATATGCATCATTAGGCAAGATACTTGTTTGAGTATATGACTAAGTAATAACAACGTAAACGGAGCCTTTTTATGATTAACGTAAACGGAGCCTAAGTATGTGTATTAAGGTAAAGTACCTATTAAAATTAACTATTTAAATATCACATTTAATATTAGCTACACCCGCGATTCCGTACGCATAGTACCTAGTTAAAATTTGCCATTATTCATATTTTATATATATATATATATTATTTATATTTTTTAAACATTATATAAGACTTTATAAAATGAAGAGTTTAAAATATTTATATATATATATATATATATATATATATATATATATATATATATATATATATATATATATATATATATATATATATATATATATATATATATATCGATTATGCTTGTTAACCGTAATATATTGATGCCATAACATAATAAACGTAAATAAAATAGTTTTGAACAATTTTGGGTTTGGGATAGCAAGGGAAGTAAATCAGAAAACCTCGTTATCTGCTGGGTTCAATCCAAAAACTCCAAACAATGTGGAAGATGCGGCTAGTCATTAATCATGTTTTTATCTTGATTGTTCTAAGATGGTGCGAGTCAGGAACCATTATAAAAATTATCATTAGTCTTTGCGAAGCAATTTCTTGCCATAACTACGTCATTTATTACTTATACTAGTTAACTTGCCTGGTTTTTAACGAATGTAATCTAAAAATCCCTTATAACATCTGAATGTGTCTATTGAACAAAAACTGTTCATCGTTTACAATATTTTGAGAAGCTTAAGTCAAGAGCACACAGAAACTGCGTAGGAATCACAAACTTTACTAATATATATAAATGTGTAAGAGTTTCTTTGTTCGTTTTCACTTGGCGTATTAACGGTTCAATTAATAGTCATGAAATTTGGTACAGGTACATTTAATGTTGGGACAGAGAGGAACATATGCTACTTTTTATCTCGATCATTAACATATTCTGGTTACGCAGATGAAGTAGAGAATTAAAACTAATTGATTCCTAGACAAGATGTTTAAACCTAAATGCAAAAATTGTAGTCGTAATTACGCTTTTAGTATTACTATTACTCAAGTGAGAGTGACCACCTCTGGTCTCAAATGTTTCTAGACTGCCTTCGTTACACGAACAATAATTACAATTCATTCTTATATAGTATAAATTAAGCGTTTTATATGACTTTTTACGTATTTAGTAATAAATAAAAAAGTATCTTTGACTGATAAGTCATCATTGATTACTGCATTGAAAAATTACTGAAATTATAAAAACCACATTGTGTACTTTATAATAACCACAGGAGATATACGTACAAGGACGGAATTTCACAAATCCCGATATAAAAAAGTGAATCCGGTAGGTGGCTATATTAACTAAAAATATATTTATTTTACAGGAACTTGTTATAGATTCACGCAGACGAAAGTCTGTTTGTACATATCAAAATATCTTTATACTAGATAAAATGAATTTTAGATTTTGTGGTAGATGTAATGTTAATAATTTTCGTAGAAATAATTGAACATAAAGCCCTAAAAACGAGAAAACCTAAGGACTTTTTCGGAAAATGGCGCTTCACAATCGACCCTTTTGTGTTATTATACTTTTCACTCCAATGTCATGAAAGCGCCTAAGGAAACGAGCACAATACAATAGAATAAGAAAAAGAATACACAAAATTAAAAAAAAGAATCATTATCATCATAATAATCATTAACTGTCCATTGCTCAACATAGGGCTCTTCCATAGACTGCCATAAGGAACGGTCCTAAGTCACCTTCTACCTCTGTCGTTCATAGACTACATTTTATTCTACATTTAATCGTTTACCATCAGACGGGCCGTATGCTTGTTGCTATCTCAGCGGTATAAAAAACCTGCATCCATTGACTCTCTGTAATGCAAAAGAGTATAGAATGCAAAAAAGTATGTTACAATCTCCTTTGATGGGAAGAGATCCGTGCCCAGTAGTGGTATTTACGAGTATATTAATGCGTTGTTAAGTAATACCATAAGAATTAATACAGCATTATGTATTCTTCCGTTACGAAAAATTACTACAAGTAGCAATTAATTGGATATCTAAATGATATTCACCTGTTTAATACAGATTTTTATCTATGCTTTTATTGCCACGGTAGAAAGAAAATGGGGTTTATAAACGCCGATACTGAATCGACAGATAGACACCTAAGTAGATTCCTACCCTGATCCTTCTAGATAGTTTACTGGATATTGTGTAAGTTGTACGTAAACAATGTGAAGAATGTGGACATTCCTTCCTATATAACTGTATCTACTTAAACTTTCCAAGCTAATTTAAAGTTGGTCAGTGCATGTCGTTGATAGACGTTAAAAAATAGGTTCCTTTAAAATATCATTACAGGCGTTAAATGTTTTACATTTTTATAATAATTATTAGCTGTCTATGCTCGTAGTAAATAATCCCATCCAATCCCATCATTACTTTCCGACAGTATAGTATAGTCATAACACGGCATCTTCAGTTGTTGAGTTAGTGTCGGCTATATGCATGTTTATATTATCTTATTTCATATTTACTTACTGTAACCAATTACCATAACACTTTTACTTTACTGCTTGTTTCCTACTACTATAGTATTAATATCTTGACATAAAAATCACGAGTAGGTAGATTTTAGTGGCATTCACAACTTAAATGTAAAAATTGAAATCGATGTTACAGAACACCAAGAAGACAATTTTATCTAATGTGATTGATTTTGTTTATTTGTATATTAATAATTGATCGGTCTAATTATATAAATTTTGAATTTCTGTTATAATGGACTCATAATTTACAGGAATGAATTTACAGGGTACAAAGGAATAACATCCGTGTCCTCAGGAACGGCAACGCATGGGAGGTATCATGGGCGAACCAGTATACTCTGTTATATCTATTATGTCTATAGGCGACGGTTACCACTTTCCATCAGGTGGACCGCCAACTTGTTTGCTATTGTAAGTTGTATAAAAAAAAATTATAAGTCTTTCTAAAACTTCGACACCTCGTATCATCCTCCAATGGATGTTACGAATATACTAAATGATTAGAATAAATAATCTATTATCCTGTTATAATAACAATTTAATCTCAATAAAACACTTTTATAATATTAAATAAAATAATCACAGATGCTCAATCTCTCCTAATACTCATTTCAGTTGACTCCTTATTCTTTTTCATTGCACTTTCTGTAACAAAGAAATAAGAAAAGATAAATGTAATAAATCTTGGAATTGCAGTACACAATAACATCAAAAAATAATATAGATATATTTTCTCACCATAGTAATTTCTGGGAATATCGAGCTGAGGTTGAAATTAGCCCGAGATGTAACCGGTAAACCTGTAAGTGATCGGTCAACATTGTGCCCCACGCTTTGCATACTTGAAGACATCAAATGACTGTTGAAGAAATCAGATTGGTATTGAGTAGGAACTTGATTACCGACATAGTTGGGAAAACCTAACTCGTCCGTTACTAAATTTGAATGCCTTTTAGATGGAGCTTTATTTTGCCATAATATATGAGACGGATCATTCCATTCATCAACTTCATTATTTAGTTTAGCTCTTTTACTTTGATACTTTTTATTGGAATCTTTTTTAGAACATTCTAACTTATGTTTCGCTGCGGTTTCTCGTCTTGAGCTCTTGTAACTTGAAGGCACTTTATCTTGCTGTTGAAACACAGCTGGATTATTTCTCATTTTTAATTCTTCATATTTATGATTAGTGTAATTGCATTCTGGAGTTTGATTGTAATCCATGAATTCCCCCGGAAATGGTCCACTAGCGTAATTGCCAGACATTAAATTACTACTGCCAGGCATGAAATTAGAATAAAACGAATTTGATATCGTATTTGTCGTAGTATTATATAACGTGGTCCCAGAAAGTTGCTGACTGGCATAACTATTATCTGTGTAATCTAGAATAGGAGGAAAATGGGAAACTTGTGCTATACTATTTTCTTGAGTCGGATTAAAATTATTATATTTTTGTGCTGGCATTGTAAATTTTACAGTGCTACTATCTGGGTTTTTTTGTGAGCAAGAACCACCTCGTATTAAAGCTTCTGCAGAATAACTATTTTTTTGAGATTTAGAACTTTTATCAGACTTATTTGTTTTAGGTTTGTTCTGAGAAAATTGATTCATATTATCATAAGAAATTATCGTCTTCGAATCATTAAATGTATAACAAGGCTGCGTTTGAGTGTCTATTCGCGAAGACATAACTTTGCGATTCGTTTCGTTTGCAAAATGTGTTATAGGTTGTTTCGATGAAACTGATTTGGGCGGTTCAATATTTGGTGCTTGATATCGAGAAGGCATACTATCTGACGAACGGTTCATTAATTGTGTAACGGAAAGAAAATTACTACAATTCTGTATATCTGATTGTGGCACACCTCGACCAGCAAATTCTGAATTTTTCTTTTTATCGTGAGGACCCAAGGCCAAATCGCCGACTAAAGTTGGTAAATTTATGGGTGGAGGTTCAATACTTATTTCCGTTGGCCCTACTGGTCTGGCTGAGGGCCATACTTGTAATTCTTCTAATCCACTCTGTGTGGAAAAATTATGCATGGATATAGGAAAGTAATTGCTTTCATTGTGATCTTGCTTTTTAGTGATTTGTGATAGATCTGATTGACCATAAGAGGATTTATGACTTTCTTTTATATCCACATGATTTGGAATACAATGATTGCTCATGGGTCTGATTTCAGATGTCATCCAATTAATGTGCATTTTACTTGGCGATTTTTTGGTATATTTCTCAGATGCTTGCTGAGGTAAGGTCATATTTAAAGACTTTGCTCCATTTTCTACGACTGTTTCAGAAATTTGCTTTGTTTCATAATGTTTGCTACTAGATTTTATATTAATATTCGTCTGCATATTTTCCGGAGGTAGATAATTTTGATGTTTCGTATTTAAGCTTTTCGAAGAGTTATTATTGTGTGTATAAAATGGTACGTCATCACTCCATATATTCGTGGGCTGTGAGTAGAAACTAGTTATAGTATCAGCAAAAGATGAGTTTGGTTTAGTTGAAGTGTTATCTTTTTTATTAGAACTAGTTACGAGAGGTAACTGAAATTCAGGGTTAAAAGGATTATAAGAATTAGAATATGGAGTGGATACTGTTGTTAGTATTTCCTTACTAAATGTATTTGTTGAAGTTGTACAATTTACAAAATCGAATCCTTTGTGTGACCAACCTAAATCTATATCATATGTTAATCTCGATGATCCGATTTTCATCAGATTATCTTCTACGTTTGTGTAGTCATTTTTATTTTTAGATGTATATTTCTCCATTGCACAAGGATACAGGCCAAGGCTATTAAATTCATGGCCAGAAGAAATATTGCTAGTGCTATAAATAGTACTTTTAACTGTACTAAATGGATCACCTTTGTAAAAAAAGTTGTTATTACTAACATAGCTAGTTGGTTGGTTGGATATAGATTTGCTAATATTACAGTCAAAATCTAAACCAAATGTAGAATCGGAGATTGTGCAATTTGTTGATATTAATGAGGGCATGGGTAAGTTTAAAAAGGGATTTTCATGAGTTACATTAAAAATTGCTGCTGTACTGGTTGTTTTACAAGAAGCATGTACTTCTTTAGAGCTTACATTATCCCCGATATATTTTTGCTGTTCATTGTGTTTATTCAAAATATTTGTTGGTGACTGGGTTTTATGTGTAGATTTTATTTTAATATCAGTAGAATTTATTTTTTCATAAAAAGTAACAGGCTGCGATGTAGTATCATTTCGTCTTTGACTGTTATCTTTAATGTTAGTTTGTGTCGAATTTTGAGGCTCTTCTGCAGGACTATCTGCTCTATTTCCACTTACTAAAGGAAAAGACATAAGAAAAGCTGCTGTCGGGGAAGCAGCTAAGAATTCTTCTGCTAATTCCAGACGCGCGTTTCCTGTTTCAACAACGTTGTCACATAAGGTAGTGTCTAAAATATTGGGTAGTTTATTTTCCTTATCTTTATCTTCAGTTAGAGTTTCTATTTCTGTAGCAACTTTAGTAAATTTATCATTTTCATGTGTATTTTGACCTTCATTAGTATTCTTTTCAAATGCAGTGGACACTTTGGTTACTATTGCTGATTCGGAATTAGTTTTTGTTGTTTCGATATTTTTTGGAAGACAATTAGATTCCTTTGATTTGATTTTAGAACTCGAATCATTGTCTTTGGAAGCCGAGTTTGACAAGTCCTGACTATTACTTGACTGTGTATCACTTTTGGCAGATGTTTGGTTAGGAACTTTCTTGATATCCGGACATTTTTCAATACTTTGTTTTTTGTCAGTTATTTTACTATCAACTAGAGTTTTATGGTCTTCTTTTTCAGCTTCCTTTTCTTTAATATTCTGAACTATCGAATCTTTTTCAATACTAGGTGTAGATTTTATTTTTTTACCACTTTTTTTAGCAACATCGTTTTTTGACTTTGCATTATTTTTTTTATTTTTTGTTATATCAGCTGCGGATAAAGGACGAGAATAAGCTGATATAGGTAAAATATTGACCATGGTCGTTTTTGTAATATCCCCATTATTTCTGTTAACTATAGACGCAAATGGTTTATTTAAAGTTTGCAAATAAGAATCTACGATCACAAATGCTGGTGGAACAGTAGGAAATAATAGTGGTCTTTGAGGAAAAATATATGGTGTTGCTGGTAACACAACAATTGTATTTTCCGGCCCTGAAATATACAAAATTAAAGGAAAATAAAAATTAACTTCATTACGATCTGTTATTTTTTGTCTTACTTGGTGTTACATTGTTAATAAAATTAAAACAAATTGTTAAGATTTTATGTCAAACAATAATCTTATATAATTTATAATATAGATAGTTTATTACTATAGTCATGTTTATAATATATGTAAGTAAAACAATAATTACATTTTTATTTCCAAATTCAATAAATTTCTTACCTTTTTTATCAATGTTTAAATTAGATTTTGGTAACAATTTTGGTGGGGAGATCACTGGTATAGATTTTGGTATTGACTTTGTATTTTCGCAGCAAGATTTAACAGTAACATTTGTAGTAAGTGTAGGCTTTTCTTTTAGTGCATTACGTTTAGATTTTTGTAACATCATTAATTTCATGTATTTACTATCTGTAATAAAATAATAAAAATCATAATAATATGGACAAAAATTTTTATATGTATAATATTAAAATACAAAATAGTAAGAAATGATATCAATAATAATCATGGATATAAGACAAAGGTAGTTGCAAAAAGATGGAAGTGTATCATAGTGTCAATTTATATAATGTGAAACAGGGTATACAGGAAAGTAATTCTACCTGATTCTGAAGTGTTTGTGTGACTTATTCCTAAAATTAAATATTTAAATAATTTATTAATAAAAGTGCCAATGTCTAACTCTAATAGCAATTTAATTTTTATGAATTTTTGAAATTATGGTTTTCTTGTAATAGTGAACTGAAAATTTTATTTCAGAAATTGAGAATGTTGATTTATTACTTTTAATGTAGGTACTTACTCTGATTTTTTTTATTGATTCCTATAAAAACTTGTGTCGATGCATCTTTTAAACTTAATTTTTTGTTCATATGATCATCCAATTTAACTTGCAGTGCTAATATTTCTGCTTCTATAAAATGTAAAATTATATTATTTATGTACATCGGTTTGGGTATAATCTGGTAGCATTCCCAGGATGCAAGTGAAGCTTCACAAAGATATGAAGTAAATATGCGACTTTCTTAAGAGGCCAGGGGTCAGTTTCATTGAAAATTATATTAAATACTCCAATAGTTGCAATGAAATATATATTACTAATGCTATCAAATAATATATATATTCTTTATTGCACTAAAACATACATTAACAACAATAAGTTAATAAAAATGTTAGCAAAAGCGAAATAATGCACAAAATTAAAAAAAAATATTCTTGTTTAATAGAATATGCATTAAGGGGACCTCTTCAATTGCTATTTGCTGCATCCAATAGGGTCGATAAAACTCTCTATAATAATATCTATTGAAACATATAAATATTTGATAAAACTTATAATAGGAAGCAAGTTAATGGTTGACCTATTGAATAGCAAGGCACTGATAGACATCAAAAACTTCGTGAAGATCATAGAATAAATACACTCCGCAATCAATAATAGACTATTCTAGAGTACTAATTTATTTTGCCTCCGTAACTTATAAATTTGCTGCCACATATGCAGTTGCTTGGTAACAGAAACACCAGTAGCATAGATGTAAACATGCATACAACTATCATACAATCTAAATTTGGTAGACTCCCTCTTAACTGTTGTCAATAAGTATTATGCATTAAACTTACTCAACTGCGTTTTTTCTTGAGCACAATTTGTTAAACAAATTATAGCTTTCTGTATAATTTCTATTTTAGGATATTGTACATCTGCATCATGTTCAGAGGATTCGTTAGCCTTATTTATAGCCTTCACGACTTCTCCAAGTTTCGATATTGCTTCATTGAACTTATTTCGTCTCTGACGCTCCCATTCACGACAGCGGCTGAAAGATAGACAAATACATAGGAAAACATATTTTAATAAATTGAAACATCTTACTATTAGTTTTTATATCGAACCTTGGTGTGCGAGCTTTAGTAACAGTTTCCATAATGAAAAGTAATCATATGTCTAATTAATAAAACATTTTATATCTCTGTGAAATATAATTATATATAAAAATAGGTATTTATATGTGAAATTTAATATAATTTAGCTGTAAACTGTAAATAATAAAATTGTGAGTAACTACTAAAATTGATTGATTGATATAATTGATTGATTGAGTCTGACTGAATATGGATTGGTCTACAATTCTATGTCTGTGGAATGCTTGATGCGAGTTCATCCCATTAATAGATTAAGGATAATACCTGTTGTTCTAATAGACAGTAATATCTAGCACAGATAATAATTAAAACATCATTATAAACAAAATACGGAAGTGTGAGCAAAATCAGAAATATTTTTTGTCTTGTTTTTGTATACTTTTGTTTTTAGATGACTTCTATTAGTTGCTCATCAAAAGTCAAACGATAAGTATTATACTGAGTGGATATTCGATTAAAATCAGTCATATTCATCAAAAATGATTCGTATTTTAGGTTATAGTATTGAAAAAATATGTCTGGCGTCCAACTCCGCAGACTTCTAAGAAATAGCCACCATGGGCGGAGTTGTCACTGTAGATGAGGCAATCGCTACAAGCAGGAAATTAACTGCGGGCGGAACAGTCGCTGCGAGAGGAACTGTGGGTATTCTGGACGTGACGGATGCAGCCAGCGGCGCCATCGCTGTGATAATACTGGACACTGATGTATTTTATATCTAAGATTTACTCTGTGGTATCTAGTGTCAGTCAAAAGCTAAGAACAAGGAATTACTAATAACTTAATATAAAAACAAAAAAAGAAATAATAATACTTAATAAAAAACTACAAAAAATATGAAAGATTATATTCAGTTATATAAAAGGCGTATTGTGATGGCCAGTAATACGCCACATCTTTAATTCGGTCGAGACATGAGCGGTACTACAATCCCTCAAGCAGTGCCAGATTGACTATAAGTATATCGAAGTGTTGAAGTGTATTTACAGTAAGGTTACGATGTCTAACAGAGTATAAAAAACAAAGTCTTACACCTTTTTGCATAAGGTGATGACATATATCATATCCCTGAATCTCTTTACAGCTGCATTGGAAGATATTTTTAAACACTTGAACTGTAGAAGATATCAATGATCTCATTCTATTGTTATTTCATAATGTGTACGTTCATAGCAGTTCTATTGTATTCTTTCTCTACGATCCCTTTCATAGACTAAGGATAATACTTGGCATTCTTTTTCTATGGGTAGATTTATATTTCATTCTTTTCATTCTTCTGTCATTCTCATGTGTCATTCGTTTTGTTTTATTTGATTCATTAATTAATTTGATAGCATTAAATTAATGGGATTTGTAATTTTGTCAAGATAATTATTACGACGATATCATTTCACCATTTTTTATAAACATATTAATTAGGGTTAGTTAAAATTTTCTTTAACCGTAATCACAAATAGAGGTGTATAGGTAGGTAATTATTGTGAAATAATTGTGTGTACAAAATAAAACAGATCATTGACAGCAAGGTTTACGCCCTTTTAAAAGTTTTTGGTGTATGTACATCAGTCGATTACATTTCAACAGTAAATCGGAAAAATGGCCCTATATCCGTCTTTGGAGGATATGAAAGTAGACAACATGGTGAGGGCTCAGCTAAGTCAGCAACTTGTGCAGCCACCTTATGGAGCGAATGTAACTGTTGTACCTAACGCTCCCTTGCCCAATTCTTCTGCTTATCACATGTATCCAGCTCTTGGTGACTATATGGGTCTTGAGCTATCATCTGATGTTATTGCTCTCAACATGCCTGAGTATCAAATACAACCAGTAAGTAACCATTATTTTAATTAATTATTTATCTCTCCATCTATACACTATCTTTTTTAAGTAATATTTTTGCATTTAGTGTTGATTCATGTTGGTAAAATGGATACTTTTAAGAATTAACATAATTTGTATTGATGAGTCATTCCTATAAAGTTCTTATATCCACACTTGTTTACTAGTGAAGAATAATAGGTCAGTTGGACCATTATGACTAATTCATCAAAAACTAAACACTGGTTTCTCAGAGGGATTGTAGGTAATATGTATAGGTATATTGTTAGTAATGGGATTGCAAGTCTTTATTATGATCTTTTTCCTCTAAAAAAGTGTTATTATTTGTTTGTTACCTTTTGGCACTTTAATGCCTCAATAATCCTCAAGATATTTGGCATACATGCAAAATATGTAAAAGGCTACTTTATATCTTGTTTCAATTAATGTATTCTGGTCATGAGGATGTACAAGTAATTGTAGGTAAAAACAATTTCTTAAAAAAGATTGAAAGATCGTATACAATAATAAGTAGATATAGTTTATATTATTAGTATGCTCAATGAAATGCATGCCAATGGTTCAATAGTTGACAAATGATCACCTATTAAACCACTACCATGTATTATAGTGCTGAGCATATCTATTTTTTTTTAATATTATAAATTTTTATATTTGTTGTTTTTAAGGTTCAATCTAGTGGTGGAGTAGCAAACTTGATTGCGCCACTGTCTTCTCAGTCTTCAACAATACAAAAGGCAACAGTTACACAGGCAATCAGACAAGTTGTGCTGTGCAAGGACAAAGATGGCAAGTGTGGTTTGAGACTTCATGCAGTGAATAACGGGATTTTCGTATGTTATGTTGCTACTGGCAGTCCAGCAGCATTGGCTGGATTACGATTTGGAGATCAAGTGTTGGAAATCAACAATGTCACCGTGGCAGGCATGACAATGGACCAGTGCCATGGTTTGTTGAAAAAGGCCCCAGTTAATGGCATCACTATGGCTATACGTGACAGGTGTGTTTTATTGACATATTTACTTAACTAGATAGGTAATCTTTTATTTACATTTTAGCTATAACAAAGTAAAATGAATGATATTTTTATATTTAGATAACCTTATACATTTGCATGTTCTTATACATAAATTATAAGTCTTAAGGTTATTTTATAATCTTAATGTATCAGGTGCAAGTAAATAAATCAAACATATTTATATATTACTTATAGTCAAAATGAAAAGTTACTGTCTGTGCTCTATCAGTTTATTATTAGCTATTGATATAGATAAGAGTAATTTCAGCTTATCAGTTTCACAATGGTCTGTAACATGTTAATTAGTTATTACTGACAACAACTTATATTGTTATATTTCAGACCTTTTGAGAGGACAGTAACACTTCACAAGGATTCCCTTGGCCATGTTGGATTCCAGTTTAAAAATGGCAAAATTGTTGGATTAGTAAAGGATTCCTCTGCAGCCCGCAATGGTTTATTGACTGAACATCAGATATTGGAAATAAATACAATTAATGTTGTAGGCATGAAAGATAAGGAAGTTTCTAAAATAATTGATTCCAGTCCCTCTATTGTGAATGTTACAATTATTCCATCCTACATATATGACCACATGATAAGCAAGTAAGTATGATAATTTTGTCATGCAATTAATTAGTCAACAATGATTATGAGTACAATTTATATCATAATATAATTTATATCGTTAATTTTGCTGTCTGATAATTGAAATTAATTCATATAAAAATATAGACATGTAATTATTTGAAACAAATAATACCTAAAGGATTTTTTGCAAACAAGAATTATCCAGTTAGAGTTTTAGTATCATTATTTATGGTAGTAAATTTTCTGGTAGATGATTGGTAGTTTCTAGGAAGAACCATATAGAGTTTGACTTGATAAGGTGTATTGCTATCAATGGGGCAGTTAGACCACATTATTAACAATCCAATTCCGCCAAAGTTACAAGATGGTGACACTTGAGATGTCCGTAGCATAGTTCATGGCAATACATAATCATTATTATTTTATATCAAGTGAGCTTGTTTGCAGTTCTCATGATCTGCATATTAATTATACTTATACCAATTCTCAAATGTCAATTATAATATTTGATTACTTTTTTTACAATTGTACACACTTTTATCATTTACAATTTTTTAAGTATAATTATTATAATAGATAAGAATATGGTTTGTTGATAATAAACTCTGAATATTTACCATTTTTCAGAATGTCTGCATCACTGTTTAAGGAACAGGACCGCACGCCTGCAGTGTAGATTTTTATAACTATCAATACAGATTTTTTTTTTATACTGAACTATTTTTATTATAACATTAATTTGACATATTATAGTCATATCTTATTTCACACAATTGGCACTTACAATACTTATAATATCACACACTTTATTTTGTAGTACGTAAGATTAATTGTTAATTTTTATTATTACATTATAGGAATATTAATTAGGGTTCATGTTACAAGTATATGTACCATTAGTCAGTAAGGGCTGTGAAATAGGAGACGCAAAACTAATCAATTTCAGACCAAAAATTTTCTAAATTCTGCCATTGTTTTTATTTAAACAGTTTAGAGTGCTAAATTGTTTGGCCATAAAAAGTGATAGTAAGAACGATAGTAAGATACGAGTATGCAGTAATGAATAGATTGTCTATGATAGTATACAATGTGTAACCGTCAGTATATATCAAACTGATACCATGGGATACTTTTTAATCATAGACCACTATTCCTTAAACATTTTAACACTACTGGAAACGAAGATAACTCACTATTTTGAGGCTTTTAGCTGCCGATGTTATCCATGTAACCCTGAAATTCGTAGCCGTGGCTTCTCAATACACACAAATCCTTAGAACACTGAAGTTGCTCCCTAAAACATGATTACCAGATAACCATTAAGCTTTTGAGCGAAGTCTGGTTAACTATATTAGCCATGGCTCTATAAGTAGTGTCCAATTTATATTTACATTCATGTATTTAAGGAATTGGAAATATGTTAATAATTCTTTAATATATATTTTGTGCTGACATTTTGCAGTTGCTCATGTTGTGCGTACATGTTCAATTTATTATTAAATTATTATTATGACATCTTTCAACTGGATTTTTTGAGAAAAGTTTTTCAATTTCAAATACTATTGCTGAAGTTAACAAAACTGACCAGTTTGATATATCCTGTCTGTTATATCTGTATATTAATTTTAAGTTATGTTTAATTCATTGTGCCCAATTATATTGTTTTATTACTTTAATATTTACCTACCTTTGATATAAACCTCTGGACATCAACTCATATATTGGAGCTAGTTACACAGAGATCGGCCATCTCTTAAGGTCATCCCAGATAATGTGGCCTTTTTTGTATAACTGGCTTCTTTTGTATAATTCTAGAATGTAAGAAATATATAATCTTTTACGTTATATAAACATATAATAATGACTATAGTATTCATTCATAATATGAGTAATTTTCATTGAATTCTATGTATTAATGAGTTTATAAAATTTCATTATTTTGTACCTATGTTAAAAAGAGGATTTAGTTATGTTTATATTATATTTATAAATAAATAAATTACATTGTTATGAGCAGTATGCACTAAGAGATTATGAGTACTTTGATATGGATACACTCTGGTTTAGAAAAGTATCTTGAATTATACGATGTGATTCCTACCAATATGATTATTTGATATAGTTTTTACCTACCGACTTCCTTACACTTATAAGTGACGATCTCCGCCGTACTTTTTTTTGGATAAATTAGAACAGAATTGCGCTGTAACGCGCGAATCTGGACACAAGTTAGGCCCGTTTTTATGTGAAAGTAAGTTCTTATATTCTTTGGATATTTTTACTGCAATGTGTGGACTAGTGGGTTATAATCTCGATTTTAAAAACTTTGTTTGAGTCATATGTTCTAGATTAGATTATATTTTAGCCAATGCCAACAATTTGAGTCTATAGCTGTTTTTTTTTTAAATAGCTTTAGACACAAACAGTTTACTAAACTCATTCTAGTTAGTAAGTGAACTCCCTCTTAGCAACGTATGTTTATGTGCAAGGTCTATACTCTTATGTGTAATATCTATAACAGGAATATTTTTTATAAGATATTTTACAGCATAAATTTTTCTCAATATTCATTTATTTTCAATGAGAAATTAACATAATTTCAAAAACTTTTCTTAGACGTATATGGGCGTCCCCTTAGACGGTTTGTCCACGATAACATACAAAATTTATATACTTACATATCAAAATTTGTCCAGTTTAATTTTAAAGCGTTTATGTCAATAAAAATATAACGTTCATTTTATATTTAATAGGATTCGATTAGCAGAGATTAATAGAAATAGATTATATAGATTATATACACCTAGATAGAGCGTCAAGTTTGAGAAGGTCGTTTTTTCATACCGTGAGTGTTCAAATTATCATTATCTTATTAAAATGTACAAGTCTGAAAGTATTATAGTATTGATATAACGGCTATAATTAATAAGTCTATCGTAACAAGCGCGGTGCCCGAATTATGGAAATCGGCTATTGTCACTCCTATACCGAAAGTAGATAATCCAGTAGAACTAAAAGATTTGCGTCCAGTTAGTGTTCTTCCATACTTGTCGAAAATACTGGAGAAAGTTATTTACACCCAGTTGTCTAAGTATGTTGAGGAAAATTGTATCTTACCAGCGATGCAATCCGGCTTTCGCAAAGGTAGAGGTACAGCTTCCGCTTTATTGGACGTCGTTGACAATATTCTTACGAGTCAAGATAGTGGAGAGGGATCACTGCTAGCATTATTAGATTACTCTCGTGCTTTTGACAGTATCAGTATTCCACTACTTCTGGCAAAATTGACATTTTACGGTTTGGACGAACAGTCAGTCGGATGGTTTACGAGTTTTCTCGATAATCGTAGACAGACTGTTAAATTGGTGGGGAGAGCTGGTAGACCTGCGTTTTCGGATTCTTCGGAAGTCACGCGCGGAGTGCCTCAGGGCACAATACTCGGTCCATTACTGTTTATTTTATATAGTGCTGATCTTATAAAACAGATACAACATTGCAAATACCATATTTATGCAGATGATGTTCAACTTTATATCCCGGCTTCTCGCAGAAATGTCTCAGGAAGTGTTTCAAAATTAAATGAGGATCTTGAACGTATTGCGAATTGGTCGGTTAAAAATGCAATGATGTTAAACCCCAAAAAATCTGTATACATGGTTCTAGGATCTAAAAAACAAGTAAAATTTATATTTAGCCAGAATCCTGACATATATATTACCGGGGAAAGAATTGACTATGTTAAAGAAGCTAGGAATCTTGGAATAGTAATCGATAGTGAACTACGCTTTGAGACTCATGTTCTAAAACTAGTTCAAAGCTGCTTTTATCGTCTAAGAGTTCTATATCAAATTAGAAATCTTCTGAATGAGGAAGTTCGTGTCACTCTTTGTGAATCATTGATCTTGTCTAAATTGAATTACGGCGATTTAGTGTATGGACCTCGATTGCATTCTAAAACTCAACGTCTTATACAGCGAGTACAAAATGCATGTACTAGATTTTGTCACAATATTCCGCCTAGAACGCACGTAACGCCATATTTAAATAATTATTCCACCTTAAACATGTCCTCTCGGAGAAACTTTCATCTCGCTTGTACAGTATTTGACATCTTAAAGTATCGGCGACCGGAATATCTATATTCTAAATTACAATTTAATTCATTCCATGACAAATATAGTACAAGACCCACGCGCTACTTATTAGCAGGGCGTCCTCATAAAACTGTGGCGTTTGAGGGAAGTTTCCGCTACCAAGCTACGAAATGCTGGAATAATATACCACCCCCAATAAGATTGTCTAATAGTAAACACATTTTTAAAAAAAAACTTAAAATCTTTTTAATTAATAAACAAAAAATTGGAATACCCAATAGGTACGTAGCCGAAATATTTATTGCCTGAATATCTGAATGTGACAGAAAGTGATCTCTGACTACCCCTCATCTAATGGTATCTGTTATTTATTTATTTATGTAGAATATAATGTCAAGTGGAGGCAAATATAATGGACACATACAATGCAGTTTATTTATATGTGTATGTGTGTGTGTGTGTATATATGTGTGTGTGTATGTATGTATGTATATGTATGTATATGTATGTATATGTATATGTATGTATATATGTATGTATGTATGTATATATGTATATATATTTATATTGTAAATTTTTAATGAAAAGTTTCGCGACTGACTCTTGGCCACAGCAGAATATCAGTGTTTTGCTCTTTTAAGGGCAAAGCAATAAACTGAGCTGTGACCATTTTGTGTTACTATGGCACACGCATGAAGGAATGTTAACAAAGGAGATTGTTAGATTATGTATTTTGTTTTTGTATTTTTGTTTTTGTATTTTTGTTTTTTTATTTGTGCTTTTTTTTATTTTTATTCTTTTGTCTCTTTTGCTGTGTATTACGTGTATGTTTTTTTTTTTTTATTGTAAAATGTGTGCTGTAAGTAATGCAAATAAATTGTCTATCTATCTATCTATCTATCTATCTATAAATAAAATTATTATTTGTGTTAGATTTAAATTCTTAAAATTAAGATTATTAATTATTTTTTAATTAATAAAGAAGGCTGTTTTTTCGAGCACCAGTAGTGAGACACTTTATCTAGATGTTATTAGTCTATGGGTATCTCCATGTGTCAGATTATATAGGTAGTAAAGACAGTAAAGATGCGTGTAATTAAGCATTTATTAGTGTTATAATAATTCCTATTATCTAATCATTTATATCGTACACAAGATGAAAGAGCGATAAAAATATTCTTTTATAACGCAGACAATTTTATAATTATCCTTATAAAACATTTGTATTTCTTTATCTAAATATAATGTTAATTAAAAAAATACGCTGTTTGATTTGTTATAAGTTTATTTAGTTGTATAGCTAATCAGTACAGGACACAATTTTTTAATTATAATTAATTATTAACAAATAAGAGAAAATAGGTAGGTATATACTAAAAATATATTCAGACTGTTGACTAGCTAATTGTCATTAATGATATCTAAGTATTCAATACCTACCTACTAGATATCGATACCTTCTTGTTATTTGATATTTGCTAGGCGTGGTTTAAATAAAGTTCAATGAGGTGCTTATATTGTATATAAGTACTTATATTGTTTTAGATCTAGATCTCGTGACTTAAGTTATATATAAGCTTCTTTATTTAATTATTAATTAAATGAAGTAAATAAATAATAATAAGTTATATATAAGCACACAAGTTCTTCAAAATTTATTTAAGGTAAGAATCTAATAATTATATAATAAATTAACGTCATAGTGAACACATGTTGATAGATAATTTCAATATTAACATTATAAAACTATAGGCATTGCAACACTAATGTATAATGTCAAATGGATTTTGGAATGTCCAGTTGGGTTTCAAAATGATCTCTGGACATGACCAGGATTTTGGCATGAAAAAGCTGTCCCTTTCCGATGGTGGGCAATTTTGGCGAGCGAAATACTCCATTGGATACAGGCTCCATAATAGTCCTAGAATGATAAAAACAATAAGTTTTGAAGTATACTACGTTGAAACTGCCGATGTCTCAAATTCTAGATTTTGATTTTTAATAGCTATTTTCTTGAAAATATATGTTAAAAAACCAACAAGTCATGATATAATTAATATGGGATCGACATGGAAGTAAACGTTATCAATTGTAAAAATAAATCTCATCTCATAGTAAATAAAAAACTTGCAGTTGGATTGGATTGAACCTTTAATAAAATAAAGAGTATTAAAAATATTTTTAAAATTAGTATTGGGATTCAACTGCAATATTACTTATTTAAGTTTTTTTGTGTCGTAGATACCTTACACTGCAAATATTGCGTGTTTATTTCTTGATAGGCATTTTTTACGCTTGGCAAAATGGTAATTTCAATCAACACAAAATTAAAACGGGCAAACGTGGAGGTAACTCAATAAATTGTAAAAATAATTATAAAAATTCAATTCAGAATTAAGGACAGTTGCAAAACATGTAGTAAAAAAAAATAAGCGAATTGGGACCCTCTTTTTTGATATTGCTTGAGAAGGCGTACCGTTGTATAGTTATACAAATGCTTACCATTTCCAAAGAAAAAACTTAACCACATTAGTAAATTTAGAGTATGTGGAAATCGACGGCCAATCGCATCTGTGAGGGGCAGCAACAAGAGTCCTAGCACTCCAAATTCCATCAGAAGAACTGGATAGAAGAAGCCAAATGATAGTGCTAAAACCATCTCGTGTGCTACAGATGATATCTATAAGGGAATAAAGAAAAGGAAAATATTAATCTTCATTTCATATAAAAATATCGTACAGGTAGGTGTGACTGTTTTTTTTTTGATGGATGAAAATGGAATGAAAACCCCGCCTGCGCTGACGGTATACGCTGGCAGAGCACCAGAGAGGGATGATAGGTGAGGAAGGAAACAGGCCAGTTAGCCCATCATGATGAATTCATCAGGAATTAACCATGATAATTTCCAGGGGGAACCGTGTAGAGTTCGATCTGGGTATATTGCTAAAAAACGTAACGATAAAAAAATCTCTAAGAACTCGTAATGCATTTTACAACGATTTCAAGGAGCCGCGTGGAGGTCGAATTGACGGTATATTGTTAACAATGGGGCTGTTAAATCTCATTACGAACAATCCTTTTCCTCTCTATAAAGCCTCATAGCGTGTGACAGTAATTGATAATCTTACCCACAACGTTGTGTCAATGAATTTAAGGAATAGCACTTAAATACTGCTATGGCAAATACATTTTCATTTAAAAATCGATATAGTACAGACGCAGCTTCACCTATTAGCACATAAGTACATTTATTTTATGTAGGGAAATATTTGTGCAAAATTTCGTAATTCTAGAGAAAAGGTGGCTGTGCGTTAATTATCAGCCAGTGTTTCTTAAGTAGATATTAAATCTTATAATTAATCTCGAGTATTAAATAACGCTTTTGTGCACCATTAACTTCGTTCAAATTACGTACTACGTCTGTTTGATGGATAGATGCCATTTGTCAGGTAGGTACGGCAAACATCATTAGATAAGTAGGCAGTTACTGCTAAAGTTTTATCGTAATAAATCTTTATAGGAAGATGTGGAACCTCACAAAATGGAGACCCGTGGAATTAAATAAACTTCATTATGAAGCATATGAATAATAAATGAAATTAATCAGGAGAGTGTAATTGAAAATTAAATAGATTTAGAAAATTAGATTCATACATTTATGTACCCTCATTTACTATTTTACCTTAATTATCTCAGTATACTTATTTGTAGGTACCTAAACACTTTATCTACTATGAAAGCCCATATTTTAATTACGATTCTTGCCAATAACAATTTCGAGAATGAATCATCATAATTCTCTCAGCGTGATGTTAATCGCTGTTTTCGATTATATCGGCATTAAAAGAAGAATGTGGCCAATCTGGGGCCTGGTTTGACGTCTAATTATTGATACATTGAGTGGGCTGAGTTTCAATTAATTTCGGCTTCCTACTTAGGTATTTTATTTCTTCTAACGGTCTCCTTGCACAACAGGCGGTACAAAATGGTAGATTTTTTTAATGGAGTGAAATAGGAATGGTATCTTCTTTTAAGCTATTTGTGAATGTTGGTAGTGAAGATGATAGATGAGGATGAAACCAGGTCCAAATAACTCAAAATACTAATGGTTTGATCGATACGAAATTACATAATAGTATGGTTAGCTCTTGTTATACTTACAAAAAACACAATGAAAGTAGCAAGCACTTTTCCGGCAGATGGCGCAATCGGTTTGTAGATATGATCTCGAAGCCACGAATGCACAACTAAATTCCATGCTCTGTAGTATTTTGAAAACTGGGATGTAGTCCACCAGTCCTGTATAACATATTTTGATATTACTAAATTATCTGATATATATTTTAATATTAGAATTTTGTAACTTTTTTTATCACCATTATATAATAATCAATCACCACTATTTAATAATCATCATAAACGTCTTAGTTTTCAAGAAATACAAGTTGCTAATGTTTAAAGGATGGAATTATATAGTTTCCACGATGCTAAAATATGAAGGTAAAAAGTAAATATAATAATCACCTCATAGAAAAGTCTATCACCAAATCTAAGTAATTCCGCAAAAGCATTAAGCCACGCGTGTAAGAGACAATAGAAGCCACACAAAAAGGAAATCACTCCAGGAAGTACACAAGCAAACATGCCACGTACTACGGTTCCTGCTTCTATCTGAAAAAAGCGGGGTACAAATTAATTAATAAATATCTAAATAAATACATATATTTTATTTAGTTATTTATGATAAAATTAATTGTAGTCTAAAATCTTGTCCTAAGTAAGCACAGTGTAAATAATAGTGGTAATAGATACATTATTATCAATTGTTATTAATTATTTATTAATTTACGAGGAACGAAAATAAAAACGTAGAAATGTGATCATTATGTAGAATTTGCGAAGTAAGGTTGCTACAGGCTAGCGAACTTCATATTGTCAGGTACATAGTAAGTGGATTTCAAAAATGGTAATGGTCAAATAGACATAGTCGTGTATGTATGAAAAAAGTCATGAAAGTGGATAAGGTAATAGATGTACGTAGTGTATTCGGTACTCGGTTCTCTCTGCGTACTTCCCTTGGGAACTGGTGGGAAGGGAGATAGATATGTAGATGCTTTCTTGTAAAACGATGGCGGCCTAGAAATTCTTGACAACCTCATACAAGTAGCAGTAGTCAATTATCAAAGGTACCTGGCAAGTACACATATAAGTTTTACATTCGAATACGAGGCGATTTTAAAACTTCTGAAAAAAATTACTCACTCTTGGTTGCTTTCCATAATCTGACCAATAAGGCAAGATGAAGCGCTCCCACAGAAAACTGTTATAAAATATGATAGCAAACACTTCCAATATATGAAACGTGACTACTTCCCATCTAATTTTCTTTGTTCTGTAATATAGGTACAAAGAAACGGGTAAATATTATATACAGGACAACATAATAGTTTTGCAACAGACTTATTCAAATAAGAAAATTCATATAATGAGTATATATAAAACCTAGTCAATAAATTATATATTTAATTTACATATTTACCGATAGCATAGATAATTTGTTTAGAGACTTAGTAAATACAATATGACAAAACGAATTAATTTGTATATAAATATTATCATAAAAGAAGTAAATTTTTCAGAATCTAAAATTTTCCTTGTAAGCGTGACTTATTAAGCACCTACCTATAGCTACCTACTGTGATCTCTTGATTTATTATCATTTAATTTAGAGATTCGCTTTGATTAATTATCCTCATTATAAAATCGTTATTATAATTATGTCTTTTCTTCAGTAGGAAAAATTACAAGAAGGTTTTTTAAAGGATCTCGTTGATAGAGAGGTGGGACAACGGTATTTTTCATTTGCAAAATGGGAACATGTCAATTAAAAGCGAATCATTTTTATAAAAGAGAATAGTGAAGCACAAAATATCGCTACGGTACGTTGCATTGTGTTGGCGGTGCGTGCAATTCTAATTTGTTAAAGCTTACATATATAAAATAATAAACAATACATGTATATATAAGTTAGGATTTTTCTTTGATTTATGTTTTATATCTTTTCTATATTTTTTAAATCTAGATTTCGGAATAAGTGACTTAAAATCTATTATTGATTTAAGTCCAGTTTTATGAATTTCAATTATGTAATGCACTTTGCTACAGTTTAAAAGTTTTAATTTCAGAAAATTGATCTTACCTGGGATATTCGTCTCTGTATACGAGTGTTGGAGCAAACAGGAAATAGAGGTAGCTTTTGAATGTCGGAAGCGGTATTTTCTCATTATGAAAGCGAGGTATACATGAGATAGCGACAGCGTGAATTTTCATTACAAATCTAAACTGCAAAGAAAAAATTATACTTAGGTAGATGAAAAATGATTCACTTTTATAACAATTAAACAGGAAGGGATGGGGACGTGTACTATTTCAATTGGATTTAGAGACCTCATTACTATATAATATATACTATAGAAATATATACTGCTAGATTGATGGAGATCAATCAATTGCGTTCCCCCTTGGAAACTATTGTAGTGAATTCGTTATGGTGACCTGACCACCCTTACTGGTACGTCGTCAGCATATATTGATTTTATTATATACAAGCGATGCCGCTCGGTGTCGCCTGGATAGTTAGAATTTTGAGAAATATATAGCCTCTGTTAGTCACTGGTAGTTTTTTAGCTTATCCATTAAAAACAAACGATCAAATCTTTCATCTTAATAATATTAGTATGAATTATATAAGAGAGAGTTAAGAAGTGGCTAAACAATTATAAATAAAAACCGGTCAGGTATTGAGTTGAACTTATAGGCCGAGGGTTACGTTCACGTGTATTTATTTATTTATTTATTTTTTGGAAAACGTACAGCTGAATTACAGTCAATACATAATCAAATTTATATCTATGTTAAGCCATGAATCGTTTTCACATTTGCGTAATGACAATGATCGGTTTTTATATATGCAAAATATAAATATATATTATTTATATTTTGCATATGTAATTTTATGTCATATTTATATATATGTATATAAATATGACATAAAATTACCTTTATTGAATATTTCATATAAAATAAAGACCCAATCATAATTATTAATACTACAATTCGTGATTTCTTTTAGTTTGGGATGTTGTTAAACCGGACCCCATAACTAAATTTGTTTTTGGAGGGTTTTATGTTTGGATATTCCACTTGAATTGGTTGATCAATTTTGAAATTTGGAGTATCCGTATTGCAAAGATTCCCATTAGCAAAGAAATTAAAAACATATTTTCAATTAGTTCCATTGCAATACTTGTGAGCCAATAATATATAAAACTATTACAAATTTAAAATTGACTGCATTAGTAGTTGTTAAGATATAACGCTGTGACAGACGGACGGACGAACGGACGGACGGAAAAAATCGCAACATAAGTGTTCATTAAAAAAATGTCATATATTCTGTAACCATCTGGCCAAACTTGACTTTAGGTTTGGCAATTTCATCAAAGATATACAGCTACGTACGGAATTGTATTATATAAATATATAGAAATATATAAAAACTAACATTTGAGGTAATATTAACAAAAGGGATTGCAATAGGTACAGAATATTAAAGCCCGAGGGACCCCGCATCAACTTGCGCGCGGATTTTGTTAATATGGTACTTATTTATTTGGATATATCTATTTAGCGTTTGAACAAATATGAATACCAATGATTGGAAATAAGTACGCTGTGAAAGATTCGCGGGGCGGTTACGGTTACGACAATATTTGCTTGGGTAATTTTTTCTTGATTGAATCGTGATGATATTGCTGTTGTTGATTTTGAAATATTTTTTTATTAGGTACATACATGGTAGTAACAGGTAGTGTAAAATACTTAAACGGAAACCAGCTGAATTTCTAAGGATTGGAACCATTTTAGCAACAATCACGCGTGAAAAGACACTGCCTACTGGATTATCTCTAACTGGCACGTTGCCTGCATATGACTCTAAAGTCAGGAGTATTTCTTGTGCCTATGTATAATGGGTATAATGACTAAAATGATGTTCATAATAGAATAGATTCTGAGCGCCATTTTTTAATCTTACTTCTTAATTTATTATTTTAATTTGATAGATTCGCGAAATTGCTGATTTATAGACTACAATAAACTAAATTTATAACATTTTTATCCGAGTTAAATCTATCGAGATATTTAGCTTATATTGGTTCTTAGAATAAGGATTTCATTGTGATGTCAAATTAAAATTTTAATTTTAGAAATAGATTTAGTGAAGTGGCGTCTCAGAATCGGCCTCAATGCTCATAGCTTTTATGTTAACAAACTAGTATATAATGCCTTCAAATAATGCCATTAAGTATGTATATTGGCTTTGTTACTTAAATTACTACATTTTAATTAATTTTGTACAAATTTAATTATTAATCGTTATAAAGAAAAATGTATACTGTTAAGTTTAATGGTTATTAATAATAAAATAACAAATGACTTCAGTATTCGGCAGGCGACAGGCGGCAGGTGGTGGCGAGCGACGAAACGGTAGAATAAGAAGTAATACAAATTTTGGACCTTAACGTAATGCAATAGGGTTTAATAGTGCTTCTCGATTCTTGTTGCTGGCTATAACCTAATGGCATTTCAGTGGCAGGCGGTGGATGGCGTTATTTACTAGCTCGGCCACCAGCCCTGACGAGGGTCTCAGGTGATTTATGTTATGTTTCACTTTCGACCATGTTTCGCCCTTTACGTCTACATCCATCCCTTGTATCCTATTTTTCTAAAACATTAACTCAGTATTTTTCGCATAAGTACTTTTAATTAAATGGGTCGAAAAGCTGAAAGAGTTTATTTTCTGTGTATTTTCCAGCATTGTTAAAACTGTACTAAAATTGATTTTATGAAAGATGAAAACATTATCGTAATTAATTGACTAGGCATAAGTACTTATAAGCCTTTAATCTGAGAAGTCCATAAAATTTTGATAAATTATGCTTTTCCAATTAAGTAAATAATGAAATGTTAGAAACATTAAATTATTATGTTTAGGTATCTGTACTAATTTTCCTTAAGTTAGTTCAATAAACAGAAGAATTAAATGTAAAAAATATTTGCTCAATTTGTGGGATTTTTATTATTATTTATTAAGAGTATAATTATTTAAACCTTTTGAATGGGTGTGAGTAAGTATAAGACGAGCTGTAAAGGTGGATAGAAAATAAAAAGATATTGTCAATAAAACCTTTAGTGCACGGTTTTCTTTGCTTTCTCCATAAAGGCACTGGCGAGTGGACAGAAATATATCATAAATAATATATTTATTTCTAAAATATATTTTAATAACTTGCATAGAGTGTACTAGGATATAACAAGATGACTATATATATATATATATAAGCAAATATCACTAAATTGATAAGCATAAAATAATAGTAACTATGTGCTTATAATATTATCTCAGACATATCTTAATTATGTTATTTTACAAAGTTTTTGTTAAAACTTGTAAGCAGCTTGCAGTAACAAATTACTTTGACGTTGAAATATGACGATATTAGCAAAGGTTTTACCCCTTCAGTTTAAATATCATGTTTTGATGTGTTAAATATGTGTATTGTTATTACATTTTTTTTATACTATTTAAGTAACAATAATATAGAGGAGACCAGAAAGGGCTATAGTTTAAGTTTCACTGCGAGCTACTTACAATCCTAATTGAAGATATCTGTAGAAGTGATTGATATAGCTTGAAGGATAAGGAGGTAGAAACGATCATGTGTCGGCTATACAGCTTGAAGAACTCACAACTGATAGAGAAAGGTTCTGTAGTGGTGATCCCATGCAGGCAAAGGTAAAGTAGGACGACCCTATAGTAAATATAATAACAAAAAAGGCATATATAAAATATCAAAAAATCATAACTTACTTGTATCTGTGGGCACACCAAAATTTGAAAAATATTTAATTTTTAAGTTATTTGAGGGCAACTGTGCGCACTTTTGCCTTTCAAATCACACTTATTTATTTAAAAATTTAAAGTTCTTTTGCTTCAGATAGAGAATTTTTTTGTTTATAAATGTAATATGAAAATCAAATGAAGTTTAAATTGACTTTAAGATAGACAATTTCCTCAAGTACCTACATTATCAAAAAATCTAGCTCATATTCATAAAAAAAATACGGTAAAATTTTTGTAGTAAAATGAACACAAACTGAATCGCATGTATGGGAATAATATAGAGAAAATTGGTTCCTTTCAGCTATTTACCAATCTGTTATCAAGGTCAGAGTCGTCATTACTTATTTGAGCTTCACACTGGTATTATTATGAGAAAATAGAGGAAAATGATTCAGTAGTAGGTTCAAGGAAAAATAATGCTACAAAAAGTTTCTCAAACAATATGGTTTTTTATACTTCTTTGTTTGTTAACATTTTAAAAGAATGAAGAAAATACAGAACATTTCAATTAAATTTTACTCTTAAATTGGATAGCTGTATTTATTTTAATTCTTTTGTAAATTGAATTATTGCGAGAATTCTTTCATTTGGATGTACTTGGAACTCTATTGGAAATATCTAACTAATAGAAATGGGATGGTATGATTGCGTGTAGATTTGTTTGAGTAGGCTGTTCCTTACGAGATTGAAAAGGTATTTATTGTATAGCAGTGAGATGATCCGTTCTATTCAAGAAAAATATTAGGTTTTACAGTAAGAATATTTGGCAGGTTTTAATATTTTTGTACTTAATTAAAAATATTTTAATAGAAGTGATTGGTGTCTCTTAGTGATAAACTAACTTATTTTTTAATCTCCTCTTCCTACCTCTTTTTATTTCTAACTTTTATGTCATTCTTTATTTAATTGCACGAAATAAAACAAATGTGAATAAACCTTAAAAACGTCATGAATGGCGACATCAGTCTGGTGTTTATTGTAATAATGTTTGTTAGAGTACTAGTATTTTTATATTAATATAAAATTTAAAATAAATACGTTCAAGAGTTACATTTGCTTTTAACAATTTTTTATAAGTTTAACGACTAAAATACACGTCATGAAACCTCTTCATTTTTATGTTTTCTAACCGGACTTTAATTTTATTTTAAAGAATAAAGTCAGTGTCCAGTTTTGAAAATATTATATATACTTTTAATAAAATCGTAATCTATCTGATCGAAATTTATCACTAGAATAAACATAACAGATCTATTTTATATGTCAGTTAAAAAAATGGTTCTATGTGGTGCATACGTAAGTATTTCACATAATTTTTATACCCGTATAGAAAATATAATATAATTAATATCAATTTAAATTATAACTTTGTTATGATTACTAACCATTTCACATGTGACAGCGGCCGAGGAAGCAATTGCCAAATGCTGTCTACCTAGATCCCAAGTAGGCACAGCTATCAGCAAAGTCTCCAGAGATACGAGTCCAATTATCCCGAAGCCAGTCCAGACTCGCTGTAACCCTGAAAAAATTTTCAGTCATCGACGGTCTTACGTCACAAAAAAGTAAACTTGTAACGTAAACTTGCGATAGACGGGTATTGAAATTATTTTTAGAAAAAGTTTTATTAGGTACAGAACGCGTGCGTTGGATATTGTTTGAACAATGTCTAAATAATGCTTAATTACAAGTATAAACGTATGTAAGATACCGCTTAGAAGATGTTAGATGTACTTAATATCCGTTTATCGCAAGTTTAGCATTGCTTCGTTAAGACCGCTAATGACAAATTCCACAATATTATAAATTGTTTACCATGTTTACGTTCTAATATTCTCGGAGACGTGTGTGATGAATGTTGACGTAAATTATTTCACATTGGCAATAGTCAGCAAATGATTCTAATTATTATATTAGGGATTGAAATTGTAAGTGTATTTAGTTATTTAATTTTGTCTATAAATTATGAAAATTTATAAAAATATTTTTATTAGTTGAAAATGTTTGAAATAAATTTGATATACGTATCAAATTTTATAGACCGTTTGATAGACTTCCTATGCTACTGTGTTAGATTGACTGGAAGAAATCTCTTTTAGAGATAAGTTCGTCTTTGCTAACATTGTTATTAACTTATTGTTGTTACTGTATGTTTTAGTGCAATAAAGAATATATAATAATATGCGTGTTAAATACTATTTATTCATAGGGCAACCCTATGGATTAAAACTAGTAAACTAACCATATCGAGTAATATAATAACGTTAATAAGAGTTTACAAAAGTTTGTGACATGTCTACCCAGTATAAGAGACCTGGTATATAAGATATGCTTAGTTGAACTTATGTATTATCACTTAGGGACTGAAACAAGCATATTAAATTTAATTAAAAGTTCTCATTTCTTTGAGTGACTTTTTATTTTTAATGCATAATTTAATTTTATAGATATCAAGTAAAAATTAATTATGTAGCTTAATGTCACTATATGTTTTTTATATTTATTCAAAATTTTGACATTTTATAGACAAGTATTTTAGGTCTGTTAGGGTATAATTAAGAGAAATAAGCCTAAATAAATCCTGTTTATTTACTTTATTGTTAATTCTTATTAATATTACAAATATAATAGTGAATTTGTTTGTTACTTGATAGCGTCTTAAAGATTTAACCATGTACACGTACTATATGGGATGAAGAAAGCTACTTTTTATCCCGGTCAGTAAATATAACACACGGACGAAGTCACGGGTAAAAGCTAGATTATAATAATAATAAAAATATAATTGGTATTGTATTTCAGGGTTTACACCATAAAAGTTTTAGTGTCAGGTTAAATAACTAGTTTATTTAAAAATATAAACATAAAAATGGCAGTAGCTTTAAAGATCTGGCAAATACGAGTATATGACCAACGAAGTGACTAATTGGAGTGGGCGTCGTGTCGAGACCGGCGCGGTGCGGTGGTCAGATGCAACAAAAGACCACTCTGAAAGACAATGGATGCGAATACCTCTTGTGCAGTCAACTATTATATTATACACTGGTCTTTTGTAAAGCTTTTAGGTTATCATGTTATTTGACATATGAGAATTGCATTTCATTTCCCGCTTCCATCTTGCAACTTTGTCAAGATATGGCTGCTCGTTTACTATACACCTAGTTAATATATATGTAACTATCTAATAAATTGATCAATTTCTAGAGTAAGCGTTTATTGGAGGCAATGAAAAAATCGAATGTTACATTTACTTTAACAGGGAATAATCAATAAAATCTCTAGATTAGCCTTATAAATTAAGTAAGTCCATTTGGAATCACAGTCGCAAGTATATGGTTTATTTGTTTAAAATAGCTATTTTTAAATGTACAAATATTTATATGGCAGAGAAAATCAAGTTGTACAACACAAAGATAATATCTAAATAGATATTTACCTGGTAAATTTTTGAGTAACATTCTACTAGATCCATATATTTTCAATGCTGGATAAAAGGCAAGGGCTATAGATAAGTCAAAAAGCCATAGCCTGACGCCTCGTCCAATGTCACCGAAACCATTTGCAATCACGTTCAATCCTACATTTATCCTACAAAAAAGTTTAATTAATTAATTAATTTTCAAGCATAACCAATTTCTGTTTCAAAGGAATAATTTCATGCTGTTAAAAATTAATTATTACTGTTAATTGGTCGTAAAAATAATTTACGAAAAGTCAAATAAAATAACTACTATTATAAATTTTATTAGGCGATAGAAAATTTTAGTAGATGTGTAATAAAATTCCTTTATGCAATTGCAGCATAGAAATAGCATTTATATAGAATATTCTGTAATATCCATGGTACTGTTCATGTCTATAAATGAAGGTTACTACTCACTATCAGGTAGGCCATTAGTTTGTTTGCTATTATAAGATATAGAAATACATTGAGAATTTAAGTTCAAGTGAGACAAAAAAAAAATAGAGTCTTAAATATATAGTTGGGTGAAGAGCGTTAAGAAGATTAATATGTACTTATAAGAAAGAGAGAGAGAGAGAGCCTTAGGCACTGCATTATATTTGGTGAAAATAGTTGCGTTCATCGAAGTATGACCAAATTTTGCATAAGTTTTACGATTTATGAATACGAAAATTTATTTGTTTGCTCTCTTCGTGCCTAGCTTAATTTATCATAATGAAATTTAGCATACGTATATATTATTTGGGATGGAGAAAGACAATAAAGTATTTTTTAATACGGAAAATCAACTATGATATGTTCCGGTCACGGAAGAAGTTACAGTTTAAAAGCTGGTGGTACAACTATTCGCAAAACTTTGTTTGAGGAAGTATGAATGGATGTATGTTACTCTTCTATGCAAAAACTATTGAATGGATTAAAATGAAATTTTGTACGTTATGCACTAACTTAACATATAGAATGTTTTAAATACTAATTCACGCTTTCATTTAATTCATTCGCAACAGCTAGTATTCACTAATATTATAAAATGAAGAAGTTAGTCAGTTCCTTCTTGATGCCTTAACAAATTAACCAATTATCATGAAATTTGATATATACATAATATTTGAGATGGAGAAAAACATAGGCAATGTTCTATCATATTTTATGCGGGTAATCATTGTATATCGATGCCGGGAACGAAATTGCTCTTTTTACACACGACTTTATCCGATAGATTGATATTAATTGCAGACAAATTGATATATATATTCCTTATCAATAATTAGTGTTTTATTATATTTTTTATTTAAAATTCGTAGTAATTTACTTGCTTTCCGCGCTCTATGAGGTCATAAACAACTGTGTCGATCAGTAACATGATAAGTATAGCGACAAATATGTGATAAATCGCCCTTATGTGAAGAGAGGTACTAATCAGTACTGTAAGAGGTGATTCTCGATACGAGAACGTTGGTTTCTTTGCTTCCTTATTTGCATATTTCTCTGCCTCGGTTTGCTCCGCCGGTGATTTTGTACGTTTACGGAGATCTGTCATGTTTGGCTCTGAAAGAGAATATTAATTTTATTAAAATACTGGCACTTTATCAACGTTTATTTTAAGTGAGACGTAATATGATTTCTCACTTGTACATTGCCTGGGAAACATTGCTATACGTAGTGAAGATTACAGTTCGCTGACCTCCGTACGGAGTATCGGGGGCAAGTAGCATTGTGTAAATGAGGTCCCGGGGTCGATTCCCAGTAGGGCCAATTTAAGGAATTGACTCTTTTCTAAATAATTCCGTGTTATGATATTTTGGATTTTGTCCCATAGTTATTTCATATCTGGTTTCTGAATGAATAAAACATGGTGTAGTTTTGTAAATCTCTACTCATAATATCGTTCGTCCTGACTAACTCTCAGTACGTTACATAGACTATTACATTTAGTAAATCTGCTTTACTAACAATTACTAAATCTAGAAAGCTGAAGTCATGAAAATAGACTTATTTTATAATATTAAGCATATACTAAAAAAGGTTTTTAAAAATTTCGACTTAAAGGGGAAACACGACTCCACGAGTGCAAAGCCACGGGCAACAGCTAGGATAACATGTAGTCTTAAGTAGAAAATTTAATTGAATGTACTGAAATATTTTTTATACAAGTAGATACAGACGTACGATGTAAATATCTACCTCATTTTGTAGTTAAATGAAACATATATAAACATAATTATAACTATTAAACCATTTGTTCTGATTTTATTAAAACTATTATAATATCGAAAACCAATCCCCTGCCGCTCCAAACATTTTTGGAAATAATATTTGTTTAATGTATTATCTATTTAAACCTTTTTCGACACGAATTTCAGAGAACTTCCATTCGCAATTTAGCCAAAGTATAAGTGGGTTCTTCTAAGCGCATTTAGAGCCAAAAATTGAGTTAATTAACAAGCAAAGTTTATGAAATTGCGACATCCATTTTAAGGAACTCTTATTAAAAACTAAGAATTAAATTTTACAATTTTATACTTCGTTTATCATCCACTTCAATCAACTTCGTCAATTTACACTTAAACATTCAGAAGTTCATAACGTAAAAAATATTTAACTAAAGAATGAACTACTTAGCAATCTTACATTTTTAATGACTTATTCAGCAACCTATCTTGCCTAATATCTACAATGTTTATGTGTTGTATTTACCACAATTTTCACACTGTAATTTTAGTATAAGTACATATAATATTATTATGTTAAAACAGCAGAATATTAATGTCAGTACTTACTATTTGAGAACGAAATGTAAAGTGCTACACATAAGCCGAAGTGGTTTAAGCGATACTAAAAATTCTTATGTTTTTTAAAGTATTTTCATGGTAATTAAATAAACAAAATTAAACCATTATTTTATTCTCCTATCGTAAATATAATACATGTGTGTGTAAAAATATGTCAAATTAATAAGTGACACATAACATTAATATAACAAGAGAAACTAAACAATGAACGTATGGTGGCATAATGCAGACCAAAGCAAGATAAAAAAAAGCATTTCTAAATGAGTATAACTAAGAATTGGGCCGAGTGTTATATTGATTATTAGTATAACAATAAAATACACTTTTATTGAAATACAAGCTATATTCTGCAGTTCCACCCGCGTATCAGTTCATAAAGTTTTCTGTGTGCTAAGTTAGTAGGTATATAAAATACCCATGTACTAAATTTCTTTCAAATTTGTTTAGTAGTTTTTGCGCAAAAGTATAACAAATATCCATCCATCCATCCAACGTTACAAACTTTCACATTTATTATATAACTAGCTTTTAACTTTGTCTGCGTGACCGGGATATGTCTACTGACCGGGATAAAAAGTTAAGGCGCTATAAGGTAACAAACAAACTCACTTTCATATTCATAACATTAGTAAGTTTAACAGGATTGTAGTATTTTTTTAATATTATTACATTTTTGTTTATTAAAACAAATTAAAATGTTGTTTACTGTATATGTCAAGTATAAAACAAATATTACTAATATCTTGTTCAATATACAGAATTCAGAAGTATTTTGAATCCGATACACTTATATATATCTACAATAAGGGTAATTAGTCTATAAAGTGTCTGTGTAAGAGTTATTGTAACAGATAAACTCACGCCATATATAATGTTATTTATCGTACTAACCTCTCACATGAGATAACAATCCTAATAATAATATCTTGTTTTCAATCACACGTGTATTGCCTAATACAATAGAAGAAACAATTTACATCAGAATTTGTACAATTTCATAAATTAAATTAATATAATTCGCAATAGTTATAATTAATACGTTAGGACTACATTGAGAAAGCAATCACTGCTTTTTAGAAGTTGAAGTGGGGTTGTCAAAGTTTTTGTTGATTACCTACATTTATTTAAAAAAAAATATTTAATTGATAATTTAGACAGACAATTAAATGTATACCTAACACTTACATCATATACCTTTACATTCTAGATAAAGTATTTCGATAAAAACATGTTGCTAAAAATAGTTCAATATTTTTATGGTAGTGTACGTGATTAGAGATATCAGTATTATAAAGTTACTATGAAAAATAAGAAGTATAAAAGGTTGTCACGTCTATATTTAAAACAATAGAGTCTTCATTGATTATTTTGTTCGATGTCTGAGATCTCTGATTAAAAGTGCCTGTCAATTTGATTATATTAATTTGTACACAGTAATATAATGCACATGTCAAAAGATGGTTTTCAATTTAAATTGAGAAAATTTATAATTTGTTCTGGATAATTTTTAAGTTAATTACTTGCAACATTGAAAATCGTCGGTTGTTTTTTGGCCTATTTTTCCATCTTGAGGTAGGTATACTACATATTATGGTGTAATTCACACTTGTAAATATTTTTACAATCTATATAATAATACTTACGGATACCTATATACAATATATATATATATATATATATATATATATATATATATATATATATATATATATATATATATATATATATATATATATAAGTGCAATATTCTTTCCATTTACGAGTATCTCTTATTAACTCCTGTTGCCATATTGCTGGGCCGCCATCCACTTCTAAATTTTCTGTTTGTTTTTAATTCATCAATGATTGACAGTATTATTCTACGAGTTACAGGGCAAACTCTCTCATCCTATATGCTATATCAGTTTGCTAATTAATAAATATACCTTTCTTAACAGTTACTTAGTTTATCATATGTCCTTACTGGCGCATCAGTCACAATTCGACATTTTGCATCGACAAATTGTAATATTTTATTTAAAAAAGTTTCAATCCTGACAAAATTACTATAGTATTACTATATTATATTATCTGTGCTATAGGAAACAAATTTAAATGCCAAAAGGTATAAGTAAAACTATCGCGTAATATATAAAAAATCTTTTTTGTTTACCTTTTAGATAAGTTACTTAGTTAACAGAATACATTAGATAGAGGTATCACAGAATACCTAAAGCACTGTTATAATTGCCAGGCTGAATGAGATTCGAACCATGAATTTTTATTCATATACAGTATAATAAAGCTACGTAGTGGCTTTTTCAGATCAACGTATATATTTAAGATAATCTAACTATTATATAAAAAATTGTACATATATAACATATAAGATAAGAAAGAACTTTAACCAGAAATAAATATATATTATATAACATTCATCAATAGGTAATCTTGTAAATTCAGCAAATATCATTGCGTAAACTTATGCTAATTACTGCGAGCACTGACCGGAGAATGGCCATTTATTTAATTTTTATCAAATTTAATGGCTATATAGTTATTAAAAGTATTAAACAAACATAATATAAAAAAAATATAAACTCACCTTTGTTAAAACAAAAACCTCGTGTAAATCCCTTCTGTACCTTTATATTTGTTTACACACATCCGACCTAGTCATAAGTCTATCCACTACTAAACATTTATTATGATAATAATAAATATCATAAACTTATCTATCAAAGCACACTATCTACCCCATTGAAAATTGAGCGATACGACAAGTGCGTTTGTACTTGATTCACATTAGTTATCTATTACGTCACTCTGTACTTATGTTTTTCACAAGTGCAAAATTACGATGCATTGAGAAATATTACATATTATAAATGTTGAAGTTCGTAAAATTGTTTGGAGGTTTGTTTTTCAATTACACTTAAACGGGCGAACGAATATTAATGAAATTTTGTGTACAAGTAGGTGCACATCCTAACTTAAAATATAGGATACTTTATGTACTGACATGTAGGTAAACTCGCGGGTAACAAGTAGTTTTACGAGCTGAGCAGTTATAAATATAACTATTTTTCTATATTATCTATAATATAAATATACAAATGTACTAATTTCTTATAAATTAATACACACGTATTAATTAAAATGGCGGCCTTTTTCAATTATTTAAAATTTATTCAGTAAAGATAAGCATCATTACGAATCATTATGTACTGTTTGTTTGATTATTTTAAATATATTGTAAGAATTTTACATCGTTTCTATTAGAGTTTCGTACCAAAAAAAGATAAAGGAACCCTTATAGTGGGTCTTCAATCGTCCGTCACAGCATTATATCATAGCTGTCAATTTGAAATTTATAATAGTTTTGCATATTATTGATCCATACTCGTATATGTTGTATAATAAAAAAAAATATTTCATTTTCTTTGCTACGAGGTCCAAAACAGATAATCGAAATTTCAAAATTAGTCGACTAGTTCAAGTAAGGTGTCATATCTAAGGGCTTTATCATTTTAAAATTGATTTTTATTTATTTTTGTTGTATAGTTTCTTAGTTATGCTTGAAAATGTGAGAGAAAACAATTCTTCAAATGAGATTTTCACAGTTATGTTTCTGAATGTCTATGTTAAAATCTGGTGTATATATTGTGTGTATATGTTGATGGTTGATACACAGTCTAGAAGTGGTTTGCTTCATTGGTTGTCCTACTTCTGAAGTCACGATTAAAAATAACGAGCAAAATATTTGTATTTTTTTTTTTTTTATAAATTATAAGCACATCAATTAGGTAGAGATAGCCCTGATAATTTCAACATTATACTAAAACAACGAAATATAATAAAACTCCGCTTATTCGGGTTTTGACCCGGCACATGGAAAATTCCGTAATAATATACGATATTAAAATGACCCAACGGATTCTTTCATATCTGAAGAGGTAAAAGCGTTGGAGCCCAGGGGTATGCTACCCCGATTTATAAACTGCAAAGGTAGTGAATTTGATTTTGGCATTACGAAAAATATAATATGTAAATTTAAATTTTCGATTCACTCTCCAATAACTGGAAACATATACATGGGCAGCGTTTGTACATGGAGGTTATTTAAACAAGACCGCTCAAGTGCTAGTTGAACTTACACGCTGAGAGTTTCGTACATAAATATATGACATAAAATGACTTTTATTGCATTATAATACGGAACAGATACCTAATAGTTATTATTATTGATACTATTGATGTAATTGTATTAATTAATTTTGGGTTACAACTGTGATTAAAAACTGAACCGCATAACTATGTTTGTTTATGGAGGTTTTTTGATAATTTCTCAAAAACGGTGCTAGTTAGATTACATTGTTTTATTTTATCAATAATATTCACATCTATCTTCATAAACTATAACTATTTCAGATTTTTTGCTTCAGAAACTTTCGAGATAAGGGCTGAGAAGGGGAAAAGATACTTTCTCACATTTTCGATATTAACTAGTAAACTATGTATCATAAAAATAAATTAAAATATTTTTTCAATGATTTCCATTACAATATGTTCAGACCAACAATATGTAAAATTATTTCATATTTCAAATTAGTAGTTGTTAAGATATACAGAAGCAGTTTACTTCAATACTCTTCTTATTTTTAAAATTCGCACGAACGAATGCTCCAAAAGTTAGTAAAATACATATAACGATAGGTAACCAAGATTGAAGTACGGAGAAATAACGTCTTAATCATGAAGACTTTCATGAGGGGTACTATGGGATCACAGTGTATTTTATGACGTCTATTGAACAGCGTTATATTTTACAGGCTACAGTTACAACTTTTTACAAGGCAAACAGTCAGTTTGTTTGTATAAAATCGTATAAATAAGGATTAATATTAATATTTGTGTGTGTGTATGTGTGTGTGTGTATAACTTAGTAATTTATTAATTAATGAAATAAACAGCATTTACTTTAAATCAGATTTTTATATATTACTCATATCGACAAAATTTTAGTGAATACTAGGTATATAAGTATTAATTTAAATAAGTAAGTACGTAGTTATAAAATATTATTTACAATAGTTCTACGAAATAGGAATTTCAGAATTTCTCAGTGTCCAAAATGAATAAAATTCGAATCTAAAATAACCATCAAAATCAGTTTACATTTATCACAAAGATAGCGCAATGTATGTATAAAACTATTATTGCAACACCTATGATATTCTTATTTTTCATTACTTTTTGTCCCCGCCAATTCATAATTCCTATCAGGCAAGCAAAGTTTGATTGGAAGAAAATGTCTGTTATAGGATAATTTCACCATTGTACCAATTACTTCCTAAAAAACTCTGTCTCCTATAAATTTAAGATTTTATAATATAAAATGTTGCAAAAAAAGAAATATTCTCTCCTTACTGATATCGCTCAAGAAATGTCAGGGCATAATATTACATTAAAGGGCTAGATCCTAACAAACTTATAATTTAAAGGGCGTTTCGTATTAATAAGTTTTTATATAGGAAAAAGAGAAAAGTGGGTCCAGTTAATTATTCATTTTGGAGGGAAGTGCGATTGTGGACTCAAGGGCTTGCCCTGCCGTCCTTTGTCTTCATCCGTATCAAGTTTTCACTCAAAATGAAAGCTAAAATGAGTTCGTCTAACGGTTGGGCGGGCATTAAAATATAAAAGGACCAATAAACCTTCATAGGACTTTAACCAAACCTTTATATCCATTTATGCGGCTAAATAATTTCAGAAGAATTCCAAGTTCGTCTATAAGTAATAGGTGCTTTACATATCGGATTTATAGAAAAAGGATAATTATATAATTTTCTAATTCTATTACATTATATCAATTTTCGAAATAGGACAAATATGAGAAGAGTATGAATAGACATAATAAATGCAATTGTAGAAGAGTTATAGTCATTTGTACATATGTTGACCCTGATTTACTTATCAATGTTAAAGAATTCAAAGAAAATTGCCAACGTTGAAATTGATGCAATCCTTTATTGATAAGTGGGTCTTAGCGACCTTTGAACTTTGGCGCACCATGCGATAAATACTTT